GCTCAGTTAAGAAATGAAATTTAAATTTAATTGGCCAATCAGAAAGCCAGACAAATTATAGTTTTGAGATGTTCTGTTTTACTGTTTGAATTATTATTTGTATTTTAAAATACACATTTATAAGCTATGTAAATTTTGTTGGACAACGAACTTAGTGAGAAAAATTTAGAGTTTATGAAGATTGACTTCTGAAAGTGAGATGGCCTCAATCCTGAAGTGCTAAATTATTCATGTTTTATGTATGTTTTAATATATCCATACATAATTTTAACTAACATGACTGCACTCTGTAAGAAATTAACATGTATTTTTTAATAGACAGTTAAATATTTGAATAATATATATGAAGTCTAACTGAAAAGCTGGATTTGATAGTTTGTTGCTCTACTAATAATTAAATCTGTACATACTAAAATATTAAATATGTTGTAGGCTATATTTCACTTGTTTTACAGCAGCACTACAAAGTTTCACAGATGTTACTGTCCATCTCTCCAGAAAGTATGATACATTGAACCACAACAAGGTTTTAATTTACACTTTATCCTGTTCGTATCGTACTGACTTGACAAAGGACTTGTTAGATAACCAGAAACTTCTGTTTCTCTTCACCCTGCTAGTGAAATTAAGAGTTTATTCTAAGGTGAATTTGGAAAATGTACTAGAGTGAATAAAACTTTAAGTGGGATACTGAGTTTGAACGATGGGGTGTGAATGTTAAACTTGCGTATTATTGATAAACATGCGTGGCACGGTATGTACAAAGCATGACTAATTGAGAGCCCCCTGATGTCCAGGAAAGCTGTGAAAACTGAAAGCAGGGAGTAAGGGATTGGTAACATGATGGAAAGGTGTCCAAGCTAAAAGATAAGTGAACAAGTAACAGGCATCATAAAAGACAGGCTTGAAGGACCAACGTTGTGACATAAGCAGCAAGTTCCTGAAAAATGCTAATGAATAAAAGTCACGTATAAAACTCCTGACCAGAATAAAATTAAGACTTGAAAATTTAATTGTATAATCGTTGATCATAACTTGGGACGGGCACCTTTTCAAGGCTGGGATTGCAGGATACGATTGCAATGTGGTAACATCTGGTCCTTTCATGAAACAGTTCAACCACAGTTTCACAACAACACTATTATGGTTCTTAATGTGGTAGCATCTGGTCCTTTCATGAAACAGTTCAACCACAGTTTCACAACAACACTGTTATGTCTCTTAATGTGGTAACATCTGGTCCTTTCATGAAACAGTTCAACCACAGTTTCACAACAACACTGTTATGTCTCTTAATGTGGTAACATCTGGTCCTTTCATGAAACAGTTCAACCACAGTTTCACAAATTTATTTGTATGTAATCCTTAAGTGAGAAAAGAAAGTGTGTTATATATTTTGGAATCACAGTGAAAAAGTTTTCTTGCAGAACGTACTGTAAGAACTTTACTTGAAGCATAACTTCATTAAAACAATTGTATCAAAGATATCTCATCTTTGCAGCTCATTCACACAATTTGCATGTTTGTTTTTTCAGTTACAAGCTTGAGTAGTTCACTTTGTTCAATATTTCTACTGTGACAAGATGTTGACTAAGGTACTACAACCAGTTACTTTTTAATGTTCTACTAATGTGACAACAGTTTTCATCAGATTACTTGTATGTATGGTGTTTTGCATTGCCTTTTACTCACAAAAATGGACCCATACTTACTGACGATATCAAGAACATGAAGTATTCATTCTAGTAATTTAATCTTGTGTTCAACAAACAAGTTGTTTTAAATACTAGGAACAAATATAAAACCTAATCTATCATTTGATTTTCCATTTATCACGTGTTATACCAGTTTCAGGGAATTCCACCTTTCTTTATATAGGTTCAATGTTGTGACTTGAAGGTATCTCAAAATACTGTACATATAATATACATTTCACTGTGTCATTAAAGGAAAATTATTCATTTTTTGTCAATCTGTAAAATTTCATATCATTATCAACATTGATTCATCAGTCTTTATATGTGCTGAATGGTCAAATTGAGAAAAAACTTATTAAGAACAAAAATATTTCATTCTATGGGTGGGGTGGGGTAGGACTTCATGAGAAAAATGGGACTATCTTCATCGACTGATCGAAGGAAATATTTTGAAGAATGAACCATGAATGGGAAAACACATAGAGATGAACATGTTTGATGATTACATATATTTGTTGTTGTTTAGTTTGTGTGTGTGTATATATATATATATATATATATAATTATTCTAAACAGTATATATATGTTTTTACCCACATGTAGGTATTATATACACAGATGATTGTATTGTACTGTGTAGAATAATCTGAATTGAATATCTCCCAGTTAACACTTCTTATAGAAATGACAACTGTCAAAAAGTGCTCACTTTAGTAGTGGTCTTTTCTTGCACTCAGTAAAATGACAAGGAATGGTGGCAGCCAGTGGGAAAAAATACTTTGTGGCTGCTTAGTGAATGAACCTGAGCACTGTGTTGTGCTGGATACGCTCATTGAATCAAAACTCAAACATTTTTGCTGACAATTCGTTGAAGTCAGTCTCCTTTGCTTGAAAACAAATGTGTTATAATTTTACTTGTTAAAATAATATGAAATGACAAAATACAGTTGTAAATGATCCACTACACAATCATATTGCATATATGCTATAATCCAAGGCATTGGGTTGACTTCACATTTTGTATTTATTTATCACTATTTTTAGAAAATTTTCTATTGAAACGTTTCAGCAGGCATCTGCTAGTTTACAATAATTCCGAATTTACCCCACAAAATCTGGTAACATTTTAGAAACATTGCAAGTACATTGTAAATAAAAGCAAAATCAATATTTCTAATAAAGTATTTCTACTAAAGGTGTATCTGGTTTGCACTCATGTGCTTGCTTTTGTGATCCTTTTTTTTCTATGTTGGTTATCCACAAAATAATTCGTGGAGTTTACAAATAAGATTTAAAAAAAAATCAAAAATATATCATTCACTAGATTAGATTGTACAAACACTATTGCAATTTACCCGGTTTTCTTACTTTCCTATAAGTAGTTTATAAAGAAACGTTCGTTTCTTCTCGGAGTAACATCTGCAGTTGAAACACATTGAGATCTCACAACAAAGTATCAAACAAAATAGACTATCCATGTGATTTTGGTGGTGTATAATTTGCTTTTTCTGTTTATAAAAAATCTCAAATAATATTGTTTGAAAGACATAAGGTTTGGGAGAGGCATGTCATCTTGGTAAAGTGAGAAAAGACGTTGAAATTTTACATGCTAGGTTGTCAGCTTCTATTGCATGTATTTCTGATTGGTTGAACATTTCCTGTAGGAAGAGAATGCCAACATGCTCACCC